ATCATTTTATCATGTTTCAATAATAAGTTATTAGCTCCTATTTTTTATAATATATTTTTAAATATTAATATATTTATATAAAAGTATACTATTTAAATTTTTATAATTTTTTAAATCTGTTTCATTGATTGTATCATAAAAGCTTAATTCTTAATCAACCTTAAGATAATCGCCTTAAATATCCAATTTTAATAAAAATAAAACATGAGGTAAAATTTTAATAAGTGCATAAGAAACTAAAAATGATCTTAAATAATTTTTAAAAAAGTAATATACATATATATTAGAAAATACAATAATTTCACAAAAACCAGTAGGTAATCCAAATACTATTCCTAAAACAAAAATACGAGCTACTTTTTTCAAAATTGGCAATTTTTATAATTATCAAGCCATTCTTAAGGGAAATAATCTCCTTTAGTATAAATAATATTTATAAAAATTGAATATACTAAAGGTAAAGCAAAAGTATCCTTAAGACATGAATCTGTTAAATAATTAAAATTTTTAACTTTGAAATTCTAACAATATGTTTTTTTCCTAATGTTTTCTTAATAAGTAGCTCTCTAATAGTCAGTAATAGCATAAGTTTCAACAAAATAATAAGAAACCAAATTAATTCCAGTCATAATAAAAAGTATAGTATTTAAAATAATTACATGTGATCGCAAGTGGCTTAAGCTTTTGAATTATTTGTATGTATAAAAATGTAATAAATCATCCAAATATTAGTCGAAAATTCCTTTATATAAAACTATAAAGGCAATACCATATACCCAGCCTAATAAAACCTAATGAAAGCCATGTGCACCTAAGATAATTCTGCTAATACCAATTAAAAAAACTAATATAGAGTAAATAATCAAATAAATAGGATTCATCAAAAATAAATTCTTAGCTTTATTTCTATTTTCTTAATCTTCTTAAGTTACTTAAATAATATATTTTAATTAGATATCTTAAGATTAAAATTAAAAAGAATTTGTTATTGAATAATCGTAAAATTTCTTATTTGCATAAGAATCAAATAATAAATAATATAAAACCATGGTTACAATTGCATGTCCAGAAGGTTTACCATATTCAGGGTCACAACCTAATCCTTCCAAATCTGTATATACAAAATATGGACGAGGTTCATGGTACCATATTTTTAGTAAAGCTATAGCATAACTCATAAGGACAGTATATATAAATACTTTTAGACTTTAAATACGATTTGGAAAAAATACAAATCCTAATAATAAAAATATGCCAATTATTATAGAATATCCAAATTGTGTTATTATATTAAAGAATAAATAATATCCACCATTATAATTAGTACCTATTTATATTAGCTTAGTAAATTTATAATTTATTTCAAATAATTATTTGTGAAAAATACCATCTAATATTATATATATAAAACAAAATATTAGAATTATATAATCAATCTTTTAAAGCTTAATATATTATTTCATTTTTATAAAATTAGTTTTTTAATTTTCTTTATTATTTTTAATTTATAAAAAATTTTATATATTATATTTACATTTAATTTATTTTTTATTTTGGTTAATTTCATATCTTATTTATTAAATATATAATAAATAAATATACAAAAATTTTATTTGATTAATTAATGGCAATATATTATATTTTATATTTTTATTACATATTAAAAAATATTTATATTTATTTAAATTTGATATTTATAATTTTTTTCTTTTAAATTATTTTACTTAACATTTAAATAAATAATATATAAATATAAAAATAAATAAATAAAAAAATAAATAAATATATAATAATATTTATATTAATAAAATAAATAAAATAATAATGTATTTATCTCATACACCAATACTTTATTCTAACAATTATAATTATTTCTTTTATTAAAGCAATTTAATGATGAATAGCCCTTTTTATTACAATATTTTTAGGTTCATTTATTAATAATTTTTTATTTTTTTAAAAAAAAACATTATTTTTTAATTTTTTTATTTATAACAAAAAATTCAAATATAAAAATGAATATTTTGTATTGATTTTTTTTGAAAATTAATAAATAAAGCAATTAATAATAATCTCAAAATAGTCCTAATCTACCAGAAAAAATAAAAAATAATAAAAATTAAATAGAAAAACAATAAAAAGATGAATAAATTAAAAAAGATGTTTCATAAAAAAAAAGAAATCAAGAAAATAAATCTAATGATAAGCAATCGTTTAATAAGTAAAATAAAATATAAAGAGAAAATAAAATAATTACAATAAAATTTTAATTTGAAATAATTATTTTAAATAATAATATAAATAACGATATAAAATATAAATAATAATTATAAATTAAATTTATTTAAAAACTAAAAAAAAATTATATAGAAGTACACCCCATTTTTATCCATTTGAATAAAAAGATAAAGAAAAAATTAACTAAATATATAAAATATACAACAATATAAGAAATAGAAATAATTTTCACAAATCATAAAATAACATTAATAGCGTTAATGTATTAAATAATGCTGGTTCATTAGAACAAAGATAAAAAATATCAAAAGTATCATAATCTCCATCTTATGATGTTAAAAAATAATAACAAAATTCAAACACGTCATAAAAAAAAACTATTAATCTTAAATAAATAAATATTAATAATAAAAAGAAAATAATAATATGAATTAAAACAATAACACTAAGATGTAAACTTATAATTATAATTAAAAATTTAAAAATGGAATAACTAATAATAATAATAATAATAATAATAATAATAATAATAATAATATATATTTTAAAATAATAAGAAAAAGTAGAATCATTATATTAAATTTACAAAAAGTAGTAAAAATCTACTTTAATAAGTAATAATAATTTTAATAAACAAAATAATCATGAAAATCCTATAAGGTATTTTTTTCAATTTTATTTTTAATATTTAATTTTATTTTTTATTAAAAAATCCAAAAGTTTATTTTAATCTAAATTTTTTTAAACAGACCCACACTTTAATAAAAAATATAAATAAAAATAGCTAATATAAAAATCTTAAACTAAATAACATCTTTAACCTTTGATAGATCAAACTAATTAAATTCTAACAAGAAACAGTTTAGGAAATGAAATATAATTAAAAGATAGTTGTCAAGAATAGGTATAAGTATAATAAGAAAAAGTTGAATATTTAATGAATTATGATGAATTTGAAGAATAATATGAAGAAAAAAGTAAATACAAAAGAAATTCTCTGTATGAAATTACATTAGAAGATGAAATTGATTAGATTGAGAATATAAAACATTATTATTAAAATAATAATTTAGTTAATAATAATAATTATTTGGAAAATCATTGTCTTTTAAACAATACAAGCTCTAAGCATAAATATAATTATCATAAAAGTTCTAACAATATTTAGCTGGAAGTTATTTAGGAGTAAAATAAAGAAGATGAAGTTAAAGAAGTACCAGAAGATCTACTTTAAAAAGTCCAGAAAATAAGCGAAAACAGACCAAAAACATCAGAAGGAGGATAAAGAAGAATAAGAAAAATAAAATTAGCGTAAAAAATTCAGGAAGAAAAAAATAAATAAAATAATGTTAATGATAATGAAAATGAAAATGAGAAGAAAGAAATTTTTAAATAAAATAAATTTTCACCATTAAAAGTAAAGTAAAATATAATATATTTTTATTTTTTTAAATTTATTAAAAAATATATATTTTATTATGTAATTTAATAATTAATTTTTTTAAAAAAAAAGCACAAATAGAATTATAGTAATAATTATTTTTAGATAAAGAAAATAATAATTAAATATAACTTTAGACTTAATTATTTCGTTCTTAAGCTGAATTTTACAAGCCTGAAAATTGTATAAAATAATATATAAAATTAAATAGATTTTTCTATATAAAAAAAGCAATTAAAGAAAAAGAAAACGAGAAATAAAAAATGAATTTAAGATAAACAGTTAATGAAGGATTTTATAACTTTAATAATTGTGGGCCATAAAAAATGTATAATTTATATAAATCTTAATACAATTAAGATAGAATAAAAAAATAAACTGAATAATAATAATTAAAGAAATAATATGAAATCGAAATTCCGATAGAAGTACATGTTATTGATTAAAACAAGTAATTTTTTTTTAGTACTTTTTCAAATATTAGTTTTATTTATGATTTTTTTTTTATATTATAAATACATAGTTAATCTATTATTATATTAGATGATTCTATAAATAATTTAACAAAATCACAAAAATAAACTTATAAAAAAACTATATAATCTTCTGATGGACATAAAATTATTATTAGGCACAAAAAAAGTGAAATGGGAAATAAAAAAAATATTAATAGTAAAGAAAATAATATTTTAAAAGATATAAATAAATAAAATTAATAATAATAAGAAGAATAAAAAAGATAATAATTATCTTAAAAATAAATATTTAATAATGATTAATAATATGAAGAAGATTAAGAAAAAAAAAATATATATATTAAACTAAAAACTGGATTAGACAATGATTTTATTAGTTTATTTGCTTAAAATTAGGAATGATTAATAATAATGTTTTTATTATTTTATAAAAAAAAATAATAATAAATTATATTAAAATTTTTATTAAATAATTTTTTATATTTATAAAAACAATAATAATTTTATATTTGATTTAATTTAATTTAATTTAATTTAATTTAATTTAATTTAATTTAAATTAATTAAATAAATTAAATTAATTTAATTTTACATTATTAAATAAATTTATTATTAAAATTTATATATGTATTTTTATATTATATTTAGAGAATATATTTTTATTTTAAATTTATTAATAATTTAAATTTTATATTTATTTAATATTTTTCAAATAAATTAATTTATTTAAAAAAATCAAAAATAAAATTAATTATAAATATATAAAAAAAAATAAGTTTTATATATATTTTTTAAAAAATAAATCTCAATAAATTAAATAAAAAAAATATAAACAAAATCTACAAATGTCCTAATTAAAAAACACAAGACCTCCAGTAAAATAAACAAGAAAAGCTCGATCTGAATTAACTGAAGAACAAAAGCAAGAAATAAAAGAAGCTTTTGACTTATTTGATACAGACGGAACAGGATATATAGACGCAAAAGAATTAAAAGTAGCAATGAGAGCACTTGGTTTCGAACCAAAAAAAGATGAAATTAAAAAAATGATTGCAGATGTAGACAGAGAAGGACGTGGAGTAATTGAATTTTAAGACTTTTTAGATCTTATGACTGTTAAAATGGTAACAAAAATAAAATTAATAATAAAATTAAATTTAAAAATTAATTATTATTAAAAAAAAATTAGGCTGACAGAGATCCAAGAGAAGAAATATTAAAAGCATTCAGATTATTCGATGATGATTAAACAGGAAGAATATCACTTAAAAATTTAAAAAGAGTAGCAAGAGAACTCGGAGAAGCAATGACTGAAGAAGAATTATAAGAAATGATTGATGAAGCCGATAGAGATGGAGATGGTGAAATAAGTGAAGAAGAATTTATAAGAATTATGAAAAAAACTAATTTATTTTGATTGATTTTTAAGTTTTTTTTTTATATATAAAAATATTTTTATATAAATAATTTAATAAAGTTTTTATAAATATGTAATTTTTCGTTTAATTATTTCTTATTTGTTATAATTATATAATAAATATATTAATATTTATTATATAAATATAAATATAAATATAATATATATAATATATTTATATATATAATAATATATATATATTATTATTATTTTTTTTTATATTTTTTATTTAAAATATTTTTTTTTTTTAATAATAATATTGTCATTTATTATATGTTTATATTTATATTATTATTATGTAAATTATCTTTAATCTGAATTTTTTTATCCTTTTTTAAACAAATATTAAATAAATATTATTATTTTGTAAAAAAAATTAATACATAAAAACTTATATGTTTTTTTTAATAAAAAATACAATATAAAAAACCTTTTTATTTATATTTTATTAATAAGAATTTTTTATTTGTTTTTAAAATTGTTCATAATAAAGTATATTATTCGTTTAAAAATAATCTTATTTTTTATATCAAATATCATATTTATATATTTATAAAATATTTACTAATATTGCTTATTATATCATACTTTTACTTTTTTCTCTATCTCATTTTCTTGTCTAGAAAAATATACATATAATTTTTTTAATTGTCATTTTATTTAATTTTTTATATTATACCCAATATTATTTATATTATAAGAGTTTTAAGATTCTGTAGCATTATTTAATTTTTTTTTTCTTTTTATCATTTTAATTTTTGTTTAATTCTTCTACTAAATCACTGTTATTTACTTGTATTTAGTTTTTCTTTTTTTACATTTATTCCAATTTTTCAATTCTTTCTATCAATTCAGTTTTTTCATTTAATAATTCTTTTAACTTTATTAACATAATTATATTTAAATATTTTTATGAATATTTAAAAATACATTACACATATATTGAAAATTATTAAAAAATAATATTAAAATATATATATTTTTTCCTTTTTAAAGAAATTACTTGGCAAGTTAATAGAACATTTGCAAGATATAATTTGCATGCTTCTTGATAGTAATTTGAGTTATCTTTTAATATTTAAATTTTAAAAAAATTAAATTTTAAATTCTTTTTTTTAAAAGTTATAATTCTAGTATATTTTTTAATTTCTTTATTAAAAATATATTTATTTTACTAGAAACGGTATTTTAACTGTGTGATTCATCATGATTAATTTGTTGTTAAACTTATTTTATTAAAAACTTATTAATGTATAATAAAATTAATATTTTCTTTACTTTATTGAAACTATTAATTATTTATCATTTTTTATTATTTTATATTTTTTTTTATTATTTTTAATTAAAGTATATTTTTTAATTAGAAATTAATTATAATTTATTTATTCTTATAATTCTTATAATTTTTATTATTTTTAAAATTTATTTTTCTTTTTTCTTTAGAAATTAATAAGTTTTATTTATTTTGCTTTTGAAAATGAATGGGCTAATAATTAATAAATATAATATTTATATAAATATAAAATATAGAAAGCAAATAATTAAATATTATGAATTTCTATAATAAAAACAATAAAAATGATAAATATAAAGCACTTTAATTGTTTTAAAAAAGAAATTATATAAGAATAGAAATTTCATAAAACATGAATTTTAATATTTATAAAAATAATTTATTTTTTGTTAACAAAATTTTTTATTTTATTTTTAAAATTTTTTAAACAATAAATTTATAATTTATTATTTTAGAAAAAAAAAAAAAAATTAAATATTATATATAAAATGTCTTATTAAAGTAATAAATTTAATTATTAAATATAAAAGAAATGATTTTATTTAAAAATTATATATTTTTATGTTATGTTATATTTATTTATTTTTTAAAAAAAACTTAATATAAAACAAAGATAATCATATGATATAAATATTAATTGAAATAATATAAGAAATAGAATAATTAGTGATTAAAAGCGAAGACTGTATGCTTTTAAACCCAGAAAGTATTATAATAAAGGAGTTGATATTAATATTATCATAAATATTAAACTATAAATACTAAGAAAATCATAACAAATAAGACGTATGGTATTAATTATAATCTTAATTTCATGACAGATATTCAATTAATTTTATATAAAATAAACTATAATATGCTAAATTATCAAATTAAAAGATTTTTTTATTAATTTTATTAGAATTGTCAAGCAAGTCATTTTATTAGTTTATTGAAAATATCCTAAACTCATACATAATAAATTTTTATTTACCAGACAGTGTATTTCATTTAAATATAGATGAATTTATGCATTAAATAAAGCATCTATAGTAATAGAATTTTTCCTTTGAAAGTAAAATATGTAGCAATTATATTGATTATTTACATGAGCAAAAACAATAAATAGAGCCCTAAATAAACGAATAATATGATAATAATAATAAAGCAAGTATAATTACTCCAACAGATAATTTTAATATAAAAATTGGATCAAATACTAAGATAAAACTTATAAAAAGCGAATATTTTAAATCTATTAATGCTTTTACAGATATAAATAAATAAAGTCTGGATTTATAATAATTAGATTTTATTAGTGAAAGTTAAATTCATTATAATAATAGTAATGGAATTATTTCTTAAATTAATAATTTTTAAGCTTAATCTTCTTAATAATTTTAATAATATTAAAAAACAATTTCTAAAAATTTAATTGATTTAAAAGATATTTACTAGTTAGATGAAGAAGATGAAGAAAATTTTGAAATTTAAAAAAAAGAATGTATATTTTATAATAAATAAAAAACTAAATAAGTCAAATTTGAAAATTATTAATAAGTATATAATATTGATTAGAAAAGCAATAATATTGAAATTAATGAGTAAAACAATAGTATTAATTTCAATTAAATAAGTAATAATATTAATCAAAGTGCAGAAAAATGTTTAAATAATTAAGATTAATTTTAAACTCCTTTATAAGAAAAATAAGATAATTAGATGAAAATTGTACATTCTGACTCATCCTATTATATGAATAAATTAGTTAATTCTAAAAAATTGAAAAATTCTGAACTTTTATACAAAACTAAATTTGAATTAAAAGATATTAATTTAAGTTTCAAGTAATAATTTTAAGAAAACAATAATGTAAAAGAATAAATTAATTATATATTGTTATTTTTTATAAAAAAAAAAACTATTTATTATTTATAATGTAGATTACATTTTAAGATAATAAATGTTATGATTGTCATAAATATATCTCAAAAGGTTTTTATTTATTTTTTGTAATTTTTTTTTTATATATATTTATATAAAAAATAATATTAAAAAAATATATAAATAAAGAATACAGCATCTTTCTGTAATTATACAGGAAATTGGTATTGTTAATAATGTATATCTTAAGAAAAAAGGCCAATAGCTTGGAAGGCAATAAAATATTTTGATTTAAAATGCTATACAGTATCTAAAAAGTCTTAATAAGAAATAGACTAATTATATTATAAACCAATAATTTAATTTGAATATAATGATAGAATAGTAATTAAAAATAAATAAATGTTCGAATTTATGGTTAATCTCTAAAAACTTAAAAAATTATTTAAAAAATATTTTTTTTTTTAAATAAAAATAGCTCTTAAAAAGATAGATTCACCTATTATACGACTTCATTTGCAACAGATAAATATTTGAAGTAAGCTTAGAAAATCACATTAATTTCTGTTTAAAATTAAATTTATTTAGTTTAAATGATTTAGTTGAAATTGCTAATGGAATTTTGTAAAAAGTTATTGAAAAAAAATATTCAAATTTATATTAGCATGTTGATAATTGTTAATAATGCAGGAGAAAAGGGTTTGTCTGTAAACTTTGTAATAACAATAATTTAATTTATACTTTTGATATAAAAAATACTTAATTATGTAATATTTGTAGTGAACTTTATCATAGAGTGTGTTTAAGTAATATGAATTGTATAAAATGTACAAGAGATAATTAATGAAAATTTTTAAATAAAACAAATACTTTAATTTAAAATTTAATGTTTTAATAATAAATTATTTGAATTAATCATATAAAAAATAATTTATTCTTTTTAAAAATTATATTTTAATATATTTTTTTACAAAATATAAATCTTTTTATTTTGAAAATTTATAATTTATTTTAAAAATTAAATAGAGTTTAAATTTAACTAAAAAAATAATAAATATTTTTATAGATATTTTAAAAAAATTAAAAAATATATGGATAATAAAGAAAAACAATTTCCCAAAAACATATATTTACTATATCATTATCCATGTTTAGATGGTGTATACAGCCTTTTAAATGCTTTTCTAGGAATAAAATTTTATTCCTAATTTAATGATGATATTATTATTAGATTAGCGAATGAAGATTTTGATAAAAATGATAATAATAATAATTAAAAAATAAATAATTAATAATAAATAGATTAATTTAAATAAAAAATTACTTTAAATAGTTAAGATCTAATAAGTTTTTTATATCCCGATAGTTTAGATTTTGTAAAAATATATCCTGCAAAAATATAGAATGATCCTTATTAATTTACTTATATGTTTAGGAAATAAAACTACAATGAAAGCATTTTAATTTTATTAGATAACTATAGTTAATCATTAGAAAATATCGAAAAATTATGCGGGATGTTCAAAAGAGTAATAATAATAGATCATCATTTGACTTTTTATAAAATGAAGCCTTCCATAAATACTAATATAAAAAATTTATATATTTTTTATGATGAAAAAATGAGCGGATGTACACTCACATTATCTTTTTTTGTCCAAAACTTTTACCTAAATGAATACATGAACACTTAATTATTCGAAAACATTCAGAAAATTTCAAAATTAGTCGAATTTTATGACATTAAAAAAGAAATTAACCAAAATGCTGAAGCTTTTGTTTCTAACATTTTTTCTCATAAATATGATTTTGATGTGAGAAAAAATTAAATTTTGCTTTCTAAGTTAATAAATATTGATATAGAAACAAATATTTTTTTAGGACAAAAAATTCTAATTAAAAAATAATAATAAGTTTAAATATATATATAAAAGAAATTTTCCTTTTTTATTGGGGGTCAAACTAATTGTATTGCAAAAGGATATGCAGTCGTTTTAGATAATCCAGAATTAACAAATGATTTAGGATATTAATTAGCTCTTTTAAGTTTTTAAGATGGAATGGATAATGTTGGAATTATTATTGTTAGAAGTTAAAAAAATAAAAATAGGAATAATAATGTTATTAAGGTTTCTTTAAGGGCTGATAATAAAAAAGAATCGAAATGTAATTTTATTGCTGAATAATTCAATGGAGGAGGACATGCAGCGGCTGCTGGATTTTATATTGAAAATAAATTTTTATAGCAGTGGAAAAAATGATATTTTTTAAAAACTTTTATTTTGTATATTTCAAAATAAATAATTAATATAAATTTTATTTGAGTATACTATTAAAATAAAATAGAATATTTATGATTAATATAATTTTAATAGAAATATTTTCTATTTATATGATTTAAAATAGTTTTCTAATATAATTAAAATACATTTTATATTTGTGGTAAATAAAATTATATTTATTTATTTTAAAAATTAAAAAAAGTAAATATTTTGTAATAAATTATAAAAAAAATAATTAAAAATATAAAAGATAAATAAGATTAAATCAAAATGATGAAAGTAAAAAATAAATTGTATATAAATACATAAAAAAAAGGAATAATAATAACAATATGTAAATGATTATATGAAAAACCATGAAGGCTAACTAAATGATAAAATTTAAGAATAAAATCAAATATAATAAAAAGATTAACAACAGGAAAACAAAATATATGGAAACAGTATTATACATAATAAAGTTCAGTAAGTATAATAGATAAAAGATGAAAAATAAATAGAAAATTAAAATCTAGAAAAAAATATCTACAAAACATATAAATAATAAATTAATGATAATTAGAAAGTATAGAATGAATCATAAAATTAAAAATAAGATAACTAGTAGTAAGAAAATTAAAACAAAGAAATAAATTTTAAAAAATAAGATATTGAAAAGTATGAATAGAAAAATTATTATTATATTATTTAAGTTGATTAAATTATTAAAAAAGAAGATGCAGAAAAATAATTAAAAATTGAGAACAATATTTAAAATAAACATTAAGTAGAAAAATAAGAACAATAACAATAACAAAGAGATGAAGAATTAGAAAAGTAAGAAGAAGAAGTGAAAAAAATAATAAATATTTAAAATAAGCATAAAGCTTTATGTGATAACTAAATTAATAAAGCCATTATAGAAAGTAAATTCAATAAAAAAAATTAATAATAAATTTAAATAATATTAGAAGAAAAATAATATGTTAATGATAAAGTTTTTAATTAGATTGATGTATAATTATAGCAAGTAATTTAAAAGAATTAAAATTAAGATTTTGAAGGCATTATTTAAAATAAAAATAAAGGAGTATAAAATAATCAAAGTTATGAAGGATAACTTTAGTTATAAACTACAATTGATTTATAAAACTAAAATTGGATAAAATTAAGTGAGTAATAAAAGAAAGAATTAGAATTGAAAAATTAAGAATTTAATGATATTTTGAAAAATAATGATAAATGTAGTACTAAAAATATTAAAGAATAATCTTAATAAAAATGTGAAAAATATAAAGAGAAATAAAAATTTATAAAATTTGGTGAATAAAAATAAAATGAAGAAAAAAATTAAAAAGAGCAGTATATCTAATACGAAGATATAGATTATAATTAAAGTTATGTAATAGATATAAACTTAGAATAAAAAATGCAATTGCAATCAACTAATTGTAATAGTGAAGACAATAAATAATAATTAATATAATAATCAATTAAAAGAAAAAAATATATTGAATAGTAATTATAATTATTAAATATAGAATTAAATATTTTATAAAATTGTAAATAAATTAAAAATTAAAGCATTTTTTTTGGATATAATAGTTAATTCGAAAACATTAAAAGCAAAAATTTAGTAAAAGAAATGATTGCCATATCAGATAACAAAGATGCTAAATAAAAAGCTATTAATTTTATTAGAAAAATTTATTAAGATAAAAAACAGAGAGAATAATAATAATTAATAAGATTGAAATAAAAATCTTAGAAATTTAAAAAGAGTATTTTTTTATTTTTTTAAATATTAAATATATATAATTTTTGTTACAAGAATGTTAGAAATTAAAAAACATAATACATTATTCTTAAATAATGATTAAATAGAAAAAAAATTAAATTTTAATTAGAAAATAAATATATTAATAAAGTTAAATATAAGATAATATATTTTATAATGAATACAATGATATTGTTTAAAGATTAAGAAAATAGAAAATTTTATCATCTTATAAGCATTAGAAGAAAAATTATTACAAAGAATATATGAAGAAATAATATTAATTAATATAATGCAGTACAAAAGTTAAAAAACTAGCAGTTGAATAGAGATATTTATCTCCAGATTAAAAATTATAGCAAAAAAAAAGACTATACAATAAAAGAATTAACTATTCAAAATAAGTCTAAAAATGTTATATGCCTTAAGTAAAAAATGATATGTATTAATTCTATAATGACTCAAATTATTTAAAGGAAAAACTTAATTAAAATGAATTTTTTAAGTTTCAAATTAATTATAATCAAAAAGATAAGATGATATGAAAAAATAAATAATTTATATTATTTTTTATTTATTAATATTAAAATCTATATATTATTTTATGATTAAATTTTATATAAATATGTGTAAAAGTTTAATTAATATTCTATTTTATATTATTTGTAATTTATTAAAATTTGAAAAAAAAATTCTGAAAATTAAAAAATTTGAAATATATTATATAAAAATATTTGAATAATTTTATATAAATAATAAATTTAAAGTAAATACAATAAATTTTAAAAAATAATCAAATTTTTATATTAATTTTATTATTATTAAAAATAAATATAAAAAAAATTATATTAATGCAACCAAAGTTTTATATTTAAACTATTTTCTTATAAAATTTATGTTTTTTATTTATTTTAATATTTTTAATTATATAAAGTTTAAATAAATTAAAATAAAAAATAGTTTATAATATTTAAGATAAATATATTAAATATTAAATCTTAATTAATTTTACATTTTTATTCGTTTTAAATATTTAATAAAAAAGCGATTTTTAGTTAATATTTATAAAATATAAAATGTTTAAAGAAACTTTAAATAAATTTTATTTAAAACTTAAAAATTTAGTTGTAAAATATTTTTTAAAAATTATATTTTTAATAAATAGAAAATCATATGTAAAATTTTTCATTCATATATATAAGTAAAATTAGGTGATTTTTCTTATTTAAGCCAATCAAAGTCTTATATTTCTTGCCATAGATTATTTTTCCCTTTCATCCCGCTAGAATAGAAATCTTTTTCAAAATTCAAATAAGAATGATTATATTGCTTAAAATTTACTTAAGTGCAGTTTTCGATAATAGATTTGCTCGTAGAGAAAATATTAAAAACAGTTTATTTCGAATTATGTATTCTTATTTAATGACTTGCAATACTTAATTCTGAATTTTCACAATTATCAATTAAAACAGAAAATTTTACCGGTCCAATAAATATTTGTGAATTTTTAATATTTTTTATATAAATAGTATCAAAAATGTCATTCAAAAAGATTTAACTGTTTTTTATATTTAATAATTTACATGTCCTTGTTAAATTATATTAATTATTATTGTTTATGTCTTCAACTATTATCTTTTGGTCTTCTATATTTGAAAATCCAGGTATATCTTCCGAAAAGTCTTTAAAGTGTTATATTTATTAAGATTCTTAGTTTTATTTTGTTGAGTTTTTATTTATTTATTATGAAAAACGAAACTTGGTACGAGGTTGCGCTATTTCTTTGGCTTAAAATATTGTTTTTTCAAGTTTTTCAAGTTACTTTTTTTTTTGAAAATATTTTATGTTTAATATTTTTTTACTTCTTTATATTATTGCTTATCAAATGTTGTAAGTGCATAATTAGTTTATAGGAATAAATCTTTTAATTTTTTAAATTCTAGAAAATATTCATTTATACTAGATGTTTCTTTATTAAATTATTTTAGCATATTTTATAATAAATCATATTATGATCTAAATTCTTTTTAGATTGTTAATATTTTTTCTCTTGGATCTTTAAGTTATTCATCATTTTTTTTTTTTTATTCTTTAAAAAGCTATCTTTCTTATTCTTTTATTATTTTTTTTATGAATGAATTTAATAGTTGTTAAATACTTTTTATTTAAATATTAAAAACCTTATTTTTCAAGTAAATCTTCGAAGTTTTTCTTTTTTTATTCAGCTGTAATGTTTGTATTCATTTTTTTTTAATATTATTTAATAAATTTCTTATATATATTATTTTGTCTATTCTATTCATGTTATTCAATTTTATTTATATATTATTTAAATTTTTTTTATTTTATTTTTATATTTTTTTAAAATAATAAAGCATACTAAACTACAAAAAAAACAAAAAATGGATTTACAAATTATCAAAAACGAAAATTAATAAGAAAACAATATATAAGTTATATAAAAAAAATTACTTCCAGAAATAGAATCCAATATTTTAGTAGCAATTAGAGTACGACCTTTAAATTAAAAAGAAGAAAACTAAGGTGATTAGGACATAATAAGAATTGAAGATAACTTAATTGTATTATTAAAAAAAAATATTTTAGTATAAATTTTAATAAAAATATATAAATTAAAAAAGATAGTATTTGATCCAATCGAAATGGAATTTTTGAATGAAAATAAAAAAATGTTAGAAGTATATCACAGATCAAAAGAGCAAACATATGCATTTGATAAAGTATTTAATAAACATAGTTAAGAAGAAGTAAAAAATTAAAAAAAAGTATGAATAGTTTTATAATTTGCTAATAAAAAAGGTTTATTAATAAACATGTAAAAGTTTAATAAAACCAGTTGCATAAGGATATAATGCAACAGTTTTTGCATACGGACCTACAGGAACTGGAAAAACTCATACGATGTTAGGAAATTAGGAAATACCTGGTTTATGTACTTTGACTATATAAGATATGTTTTAATTTATAAGAAAGGATATAGAAAATGAATATCATATAAGTATAACTTATGTAGAAATATATAATGAAACTATAAGAGACTTATTAATTCCTCATTCATCATATTTAGAATTAAGAGATGATCCAATAAAGGCAAAAAAAATAAAATATTAATATATATTAATATTTAAAAAAAATATATAAAAAATAGGGAATTACTATTGCAGGAGTATCTGAATGTAAAGCAGAATCTACAGAATAGGTTAAAAAAATATATTAAATATAAATATATAAAATATATAAATAAATAAATAAATAAATAAATAAATAAATAAATAAATAAATAAATAAATAAATAATTTAAATATATAAAGGTCATGAATTTGTTATTTCTAGGTAATAAAAGAAGAACTACAGAATCTACAAATGCAAATTTAACATCATCTAGAAGTCATGCAGTATTTTAAATTACAGTTGTTTCCAAATCTAGAACTAAAACATTGAATAAGAAAATATGACTGGAAAACTATCACTTATTGACTTAGCAGGTTCAGAAAGAGGAACAGTTACAGAAAATCGAGGTATAAGATTAAGAGAGGGTGCAAAAATAAATTAATCATTACTAGCTTTAGCTAATTGCATCAATGCATTAGGCGATAAATCTAAAAAAGGTTTTTTTGTCCCTTATAGAGATTCTAAATTAACCCGAATGTTAAAAGTAAATCTATAATAAAATATATATATACAAATCATAAAATATAAAATATAAATATTAAGGATAGTTTAGGAGGTAATTGTAAAACAGTAATGATAGCAAATATAAGTCCAAGTAGTTGCTAATTTGAAGAAACAATAAATACTTTAAAATATGCTAATAGAGCAAAAAATATTAAAACAAAAGTTTTAGCTAATAAAAAATTAGTAACAATACATATAGCTTAATACAAAAATATTATAAATGATTTGAAATAAGAAATAGATTAATTAAAAGCAAAACTTCATGAAAGAATTATGGATGGTGATATTCTTAATTGTCAAGATGATGATTTTTAATTTTTCGAAAGATAAAACAATTAATAACAAAATAATAATTAATAATAATAATAATAATAATTAAATAATTAATAAAAAGATTTATAATGTAATTGTGGAAGATATGAAGATGAATTAAATATGAAATAAATTTAGGAAGAAATATTCGAGAATTTTCAAGATAGAATTTAATTAAGAAGAGGTTTAATGGAAATCGAAGAATAAAATGTGATGAATATTCTAGAAATAAAAGTCAAATAAAATTAAATTTAGACTTGGAAAAATTAATAAGACTTTCCAGAAGATTTGAAAAAGAAAAAAATGCCCGAAAATATAAAATAATTAGTTAAAGCAGTAAAAACATTGAAACTCTCAACAGAATAAAATAAACTTAAAAAAGAACTTATGAATTTATCATTAATGGATAATATTAATACAGCCAAAAAAATTAGAGATAATATTCCTAAAAAAATTAAATTTGAAGATAAAAGAAATTTTATTGAATTAATTATTAAAAATCATGTATTAGAATTATAAAATATTGAATTAGAAATCAATTTATAAATTTAAGAAAAAACTATATAAGATTTTAAATAGATTATCGAATCTTAAAAAAAAATTATTTTTGATAATAATATCAGGCTTGCTGAAGAAACGAATGTTTTAAGCAATAATTCTTAAGATGATGATACTTAATAAGTAGCTTTAGAAGAAAATCTCTCTGATGAAGAATATGAATGTATACCAGATTAATAAGAAGAAAATGATGAAGATGATTATTTGAACGATTTAGTAAATATATTTATATTTCAAATTTTTATATATTTAAATTATTTTTACTATTAAAAAGACCTAATCAATGGAAAAACAAGAAGATAAGTTGGTTATTGAAGATATTAAATAGAACAAAATATTTCCAGAAATTAATTAAGTTATTAAAAAAGAAAAATAAAATAATAATAAACATAATAAATTAATTTCTTAAGAAAACTATTAAATGGAAATTAATATAAATAATAATGAAGAAAATGTAGATTCTACACCAAAATATATTTAGAATTAAAAAAAAAATGAAAAAAGTAAAAAAGGAACAAAACAAAATGTAAATTATTATAATTTTTTTTAAAAAAAAATCTATTATATTTTCTATTTTTATATAATAAAAAGAAAAAAAAAGAATAAATATAATAATAAGCTTAACAATATAAAGAAATAAGTATTACTGGATAATCTGCAGCAATTAATAATTAATAAAATAAAGAATCAATGAATAATATAAATAGTAGTTTAGGAGTAAATAATAGTATGAGTAATATTAATAATTAAGTGAGTACTAAAATGATTCCATAGATATAAAAAGTATAAAATGCTAATCAAAAAGAAAAAGACTTAACAGCTTTAAATTTAAAAGGGGTAGATTTATTTTATATACAATAAATATAAACATGTATTAACAAAATAATTTAATTTCTTATTTTAAATATAAAAAAAAAGAAAAATATTATATTGCCAACATTAAAAGAGCCTAGTAATAACAAAAAGAAACGCATATGATTTTTAATCTATTTAATAAATTTATATTAAAAAAAATTAAAAAATTCAATTAATTATAATTTATTTTTTAAAAAATAATACCAATTATATTATCAATAAAGTAAATTCTTATTATATAAAAATAAGTTAATATATATTATAAAAAAAATAGATATAATATTTTAAAATTGTATATCCGAAATTTCTTTATAATAAAATATCAAAATAAGTTTTCTTATTTATTAAATAATATAAAAATATAAACTTTATATATATAATTTACATAAAAGAATTTATTTATAAACCTTTTAAATACATATATAATAAGTATATATCCTATTTTCAAGTAATATAAGAAAATATAGTAAATTAATTCATATTTTTAAGAAACTATGGATTAAGGTATTATTTTAACTTTAATCTTAATTATTACTTTATATTTAATCCTCTTCTATAATTTCTTTTTATTCTTTATTTTCATATAAGTATCTTTTACTTCCAGTTTTATAAAAAAAGAAAGTGTATAAATATAAAGGAAGCATAATTCCAACAAGCATATAAATTCCATATTTCCCAATTGACTAAAACGTACTTATAAAATTCCCAATAAGCCCAATAATATTTGCAAACTAATTAAAAACTGTAAAAATTGCCACTTCTTGCATCGGATAAAGGCTTTCTAGAAAAGATTAAGACGCTACAGGGATAAAAGATTAAAACCCAACTCCTACAAAGCAAAAAATAATATAAATGGCCCATTTATAATTATTTTACAGACCAAGTTATACAAAAACGGCCAAAGTAATAATTGACAGAAGGGATATTGTAGAAAATAGTTTTATATAAAAATCATATGGAGGCATTTTTTTTTATTAAGAAGCCTTATCTATATATACAGTAGCTATAATTCCTGTAAAAGTTCCACTAATACTAATACAAATTCCTATATATCCTAAATCTTATTAAGAAAAGTCACTTAAAACAACTCCTATAATAGATAAAATAGTCCAAAAAATTCCCATATAAAGCGAAAGTGAAAGTGTGATAATTATGAATTTAGGCTTTGTAAATATTTACTTAATACAAGGAATAATTTTTATTTTGTTTAAATTTTAACTTGTTAAATTTGCCGGATTTTTCGGTTTATTTTTAAAAATAAAAAAACTAAAAACGAAAGGGATGCTCATAAAGATTGCAATAAAAAATAAATATTTAGGAATATCATTTTAAGCATCTTTTATTGAATACAAAGAGCTTAAAAATCCAGCATTAATTCCTAAATTATTAGCAAAAATCATAATCGCAGTTGCTTTAGCTCTCTCGTATTGGCTAAACCATCTCTCAGTTATATAAACAGGAGCTGGTAATATAAATAATTGCGCAGAAGTTATTATAAATTACCCTAATAAGGCTATTTGGTAATTTGATTTGGCTAAATAACGCATCCAAGAGCCTATTAAATTTAAAAATGTACCTAATATTAAACATATGTCTAAACGTTTATCAAATAAAAATATGGATGGTATAGAGAGTATGATGTAAACTATATACCATATGTTTGAAAACCATAATATTTATGATTCTGTTGAATTGTAATATTCTTTACTTTATTCAATTATAGGTGAAAATGTTACAAATGCAGATGAATTGGAAAATGTATATAGGCAAAATAAAAACATTATAAACCAACGTCTCTTTTCTAGTTTAATATTTTCCTACATTATATTATTTTATTTGAAGAATTTTTATATATCTATTTTTTAATAAAGGATATAATTTTAATAATAATTTTTTCATAATATTATCAATAAAAAATTATTAAAAGATTTTTAAAAACTAATAAATATTTTTAATTATATATTATTTAAACAAAGTAAAAAGTTAGTCATTTAAAAAAAATCAATATAAAAAATTACTTATAAAAGCAATAAAATAATAGTAAAAAAGTAATATATAAAAAATAAAATATGGGTAACGAATGTTCATAATGTACAGCAAACTGCCAAAAAGCAGAAAGACAAACCGAATTTGTAGGAGAACAAAATAATTAATAATCAAATACATCCTAATTATATTAAGATCAACCTAAATAGGAAACCAATAATTATTTATAGGCCTAATTATCACGTACAAATATGAACTCAAGTTTAAACATGAATATTTAATAATAAAAAAAATCATAATTTATAAAATCATCTCTACATATAAATCAAAATTTTAGAAATTCAGAATCAATAAATTAGCAAGCATAAACAAATTACAACCAACCATTATCAGATAATTAAAATTAATAACTAATCATAAAAAATGAAGATGAGGAAGAAGATATACCCCGAATTGAAGCATTAGAATAAATATATTTTACAATAGATGAACAATAAGAAGCCCTTAATCAAAAAAGTAATTGCAATGCAAACAAGAGAGAGAGAAGGCCTCCTTTCTAATTCAAAACAGGAGCTGTTTATGAAGGTGAATGGAAAGGTAATTAAAGAGATGGATTTGGAGTTTAAATATGGCCAGATGGAGCAAAATATGAAGGCGAATGGTAAGAAAATAAAGCGCATGGAAGGGGAAAATTCTATCATATAGACGGAGATACATATGAAGGCGAATGGAAAGACGATAAAGCTAATGGAAGGGGTATATATATACATGTAAATGGTGCAAAATATGATGGTAAATATAAAAAATTAAAGTTATATAATTATTAAAATAAAGGTGAATGGAAAGATGATTTATAAGATGGATATGGAATCGAAACATGGGCTGATGGATCTAAATATGAAGGATATTATAAAGAAACTAAAAAACATGGGTAAGGTATTTATACATGGACAGATGGTTCAAAATATGAAGGATAATGGTTCGAAAATCGCATTTGCGGTTATGGAGTGTATACTTGGGTTGATGGGAGAAAATATGAAGGAGAATGGCTTAATAATAATATGCATGGTAAAGGAGTATATAGCTGGAAAGATGGAAGAAAATATGAAGGAGAATATTAATATGATAAAAAACATGGATAAGGTACTTATACTTGGACTGATAGGCGAATTTATTAAGGTGAATGGGCTTATGGGAAGTATTTATTATTATTTATTTTATTTTATTAAAATTAAAATTTATTTTTTAGATAAAATGGAAAAGGTAAATATATGTTACCTAATGGAGAAATTAAAATAGGGCTATGGGAAGATGGCAAAAGAATAAAATGGTTAGAAGAGGATGAATAATTTTGAAAAGAAAAAATAATATTTTTTTTAATTAATGATATAAATAAACTTAAGTTTAAATATATATAATAACTGTATTATTTTTATTTATTGTTATTTTTTAATAATAAATTAAACTATTTCTACTAAAAGTAATATTTATATGCTTTATCTTAGTAATTATACTAAAATAAAAGTCTTTATATTATTTTTTTTCTTCTTATTAAATAATTGACTAAAGTTCAATTTTAGTTACTAATTTTATTTTTAAAATAAATAATAATCATAATTAAAATAATTTACAAATGATTATATAAATTTTATTTATTTGTTTATCTCAAAGTACTATAAATATTTTAACTGTTGATTGATAAAGAAAAACAAAAAAAACCAGTATGTAAATAAAACCTTTTTATATATTGCATTTTTTTTACTTTTTTAATATCATTTTATTAATTTTGGTATTTTTTTTTTATTTAAAAAAAAAATAACTCAAAAAGCTGATATTATATAAAAAGATCTATTTTATAAGCAGCTTTATATTTTTCTGATGTATTTAACAAAAATATAAATATAATTTACAGGAAATTCATTTAAAAAATTATCACTAAATAAATAAAAATCTTAAAAACATTTAAAATAATTATTTTACTGACTTTTTTTCACATTAAAAATATATTTTATATAATTTTTTTTATTTTTGCTGCTTATTTTTATTTCAGAAATAAGCAAAGAGAATGTATTTATATTAAAAATGTATAATTTAATAAATTAAGATTGTTCAATAAATTTTTATAATTAAAAATTATTTAAGTATTTTATGTAAATTTAAATGGATTTGCTTTTAAAAGATAGGCTATAATATATGGTTAACAGGCAGCTAATCGATTATAATTTTAGTATATATAAATTTAGAAATATTCAGAAAAAATTTTATCAGTTGATTATATTATTTTTTTATAGCTTTTTTTAAAAACTCAATCAATAACAAAGACAAATTGTTTTTTTTTTGGTAATTAAGTTTTTTTTAAAAAAATACAAAATATATAAATAATAAGTTTTATAATATAATATTGAGAGCTACTAAATTTATTTTTTATAAAAAAATATTTATATAATAAATACACTATGAAATTGTAAATTTCTTATTTTTTTAACCAAAAATTAGCCATAATTCCCAGAAAATTCGTTTTATTTTTAATTTTACCAGCATAATTAGGCCATCTCCACAATGTAATATTATTAAAATATAAAATAGAAACATATAATTTGTAAGTGAAATTTATCATTATATATAGATATTTTTTTTTATTTTTAAAAATAATAATTATATTTATGTATAATAGTACTCCATAAATATATTATTATATTTATAAATTAATTAGCAATTTTCTCATTCATTATTTAATTTACTTTTTTCAATAGCTTTTAATAAATATTTAATTAAAAAACATAATTTATAATTATAAAAATAATTAATTTAAACAGTAAATTATTTATATAATTAAAAAGAATTAAATGCATATCTTTCTACAAAAAAAAAATATAAAGCAAAAAATTAAAATAATAAATAATAATAATATAAAATAAAAATAATAAAAATAAAAATCTTTATGCAAAAATTTTTACACGAACATTAAAGAATACCAATATACTAAATAAAACCATAAAAATAAATATTATATGAACCTGCTCCAGAATAAAAGCCATAATTAATAAAAAATGATATAGATTAAGAAATACCAATTATTATAGATTATGGAAGTGGAATAACTAAGGCTGTAAAAAAAAATACATATACATATACATATATGAAGAATATAAAAATAAAATAAAAATTAATTAAATAAGGGATGGGGAACAAGTTAGAGGCCAGATTTATCAATACAAACATTATTAAGTAAATCAAAAGATGCAAAAACAAGTATAACATCCGTATTAGTATAAAATAAGTTAAAAGATGTAGATTTATTTAAAGGAAATTATAGATCTCCTTATGAACGTAATGTAGTTTAATAATTTAGCTTAATGGAAAATTTAAACGATTTTATATTTAGTGAAATCGGCGTTATAGAAGAAAGAGTCGATCATCCATTAATAATTACAGAGCCGTTTGCCAATCCTGATTATTCAAGACAAAATTTGCTTGAATAATATTTCGAATGTTATGAAGTAAGAAATAAAAAAAATTAAAAAATAAAATATAAAAAAAGGTCCCCTCAGTTTTTATAGGTGTAGATACTCTTTTTGCAACATATAATTAATTAGGATAAGAAAAATACTAAACAGAAACCTGCTTAGTATTATCTTTAGGTCATAATACATGCCATATAATTCCAATAATAAATGGATAAGTATAATATGAATTTATAAAAAGAGTAAATGTTGGAGTATCGAGTGGTTTCGAGTTGTTTTATAAATAAACAATAATAAAAAACTAGCATTAAAAACATTATTTAGACTATTAAACATTATAATCAATATTTTAAAATTATTGTGAATGTGCAGTCAATTATTCAGATTAATTGAAATATCTAAAATATGGTTAATAAGGATTTGAAAATAAATCCTATTTTAATAAAATTGAAAGAGAAAATAATTAAATTTTTGATTTTAATACTTTATAGGAGCCTATTTATATAGATTTTCCTTTATAATAAAAAATTGTTGATGAAGTAGAAATTTAAAGAAGAAAAGAAATTCGTTTAAAATAAGCAGAAAGATTAAGAGAAGCTATGCACAAAAAAAGGGAAGAAAAAAGAAAAAACCATGAAAAAGAACTCTAAGATTTAGAATAATTAGAATTAAAATTTAAAGAAGATCCTGCGTCTACAAAAGTACAAATTTTATTAAAAAAATAAATAAAATAAAATATAGATTATTTTAGAATAAATGTTTGGTAAAAATAAAGGAGTTGAAGAAATTAGAAAAAGAATTAAAAAATAAAAGTTAAATTAGGCTATTTAGGAAAAGAATCATTAGAAGAAGATAAGTATTAATTAATAAATATAGCAGATTCATAATTAACCCCTTAATAATAAAAACAAAAAAAATTTAAATCGTTTAAAAGTAAGCAGCTGAAACTAGAGCTGAAAAAAAAATGATTGAAAAGGTAAAAAAAGAAAAGGTTATTAAAATGAAAGAAACAAATTAACCAGAATATTTAAATATGTTGTATGAAAGAAGATTAAAAATTCTAAAAAAAGTAGACGAAAAGAAAAAAACAGACAAGAATTATCGACTAGAAATTCTAGATTAAATTAAAAAAAAATGTAAACTATTGCATAATTAGGAGCTGCTGATAAAGTAGTATCCATTTTTATTTAAAGAAAAAAAAATATAAAATATATATGATATTAATTATTTTATTTTATTTTTAAATAAGGGAAAAGATGATAATTTTGGAATGAATGATGAAGATTGGAACGTATATATTAATATATAAAAAGACTATGAATCTGATGAAGAAAATCAAGAATTAAAGCTAAATGAAATTGAAATCGAATTAAGAGAATTAGATCCAAGTATATAAGCATATATATTTTATTTTTTTAAATTAAAAAAATAGATTTTGATGAAAAAATAAAAATTGGTGAGAAAAATCCTTATAGTTTAAATATGTAAGAATCTTTTATTTAATTATCTGTTGATAAGTTTAGAGGAAACGAAGTTATATTTTAACCTGGAATAGTCGGAGTTGATTAATCTGGAATTAGTGATACTATAATCTATATTGTGAAAAAATTCGATTAAAATATATAAAACTAACTTCTATAAAATATATTATTAACAGGGGGAGGCTCTAATATGAGGGGTATTATTTAAAGATTTTAAGCTGATCTTATTTCTAATTTTAAGGTTAATTAAGTTATTAATATTAGATAAATGGAATAATCAGTTTTCGGGCCATGGTATGGAATGAAATATATGTATTATAAAAATTTGGATAATATTTAATAAAATTTTATTACTAAATAAGAATATTTTGAAAAAGGAAATAATAGCTTATTTAAAGCAAATTAATTTTCAAATATTGTAATTCCATATTGATATTTAAATATCCATATTGATATTTAAATATTTTTATGATCTTTTTATTTTAAAAAAAAAAAATATTATTAAATTAAATTTTAAAATTTTATAAATTTTATAAATTTTATTTTATATTGAAAATTAATAATAAATATTGTTAATTTATTATAAAAATTTTATATTTTAAATTATATATTTTATATGTCTAGATCAAAAATCATTTAAAACATAAAATTTTATATTTAATTTTTAAAAAATATTAAATTTTATTTTTAAATTAAAAAATAAATATAAAATAGGTAAGATTTTATATAAATTTTTAATTAATCTAAAAAAAATTATAAAATTATATTTATTTATAAATTTTTAAATATCATTTATCCGAAATAAGTTTAAAAAAATATTAATTTAATTTGCTATATAATATGTTGAAAATTTAATAAAAATATTTACTTATTTTATTAATTATTTTTGTTCTAAGCTCTTTATCCTGTTCACTTTTAATAATAAATATTAGTCCATTTAGAAAATATTATCAATAATAAAGTAAATCTCATTAAATAATGAGACAAATCAACGATTTTAATTATCATTTTTTTTCATATTATTCATTAAATAGAATAAATGAGTATTAAAATAATAAAAAAATAACGAAAATTATTTATATAAAAAAGAATTGTATAGTTTAATGAAAATGATTAATTTTAAAAAATATAAAAATTTTTAGATTTGTAAAATTCTTTAAAATTAAATGTATAAATTATATATTTTATACAAATTATAAATTTTATCTTTTTATAAAAAAAAATATATATGTAAATTAAATTTTTAGTTATAAGAAAATAAAGATTTTGTTGAAAATGAATAATTTTTAATAGAAATGATTAATTTTTTAAAGCTACAAGATCATAAGATTGAAATAGATTAAAAATAATTATCTTTATAAGATGCTTTAAATATAATTTTAAGTAATGTAAGTTAATATTTATAATTGCTCCAAAGTTTTTAAAAAATTGATCATACAATATTAACATTGACAACGGTAAAATAATTTATAATAAACATTGATAAAAATAACTTATAAAGTTTAATAAATAACATCTAAAAAAGTTCAAATTAATAAATAATATGTGTCATTATAATTATTACTTTAATCTCAATTCTAATTTATTAATGCTTTTTCATTCATTATATATATGAAGTATATAATCAAAAGAAACTAAATGATAATACTAAAGTTTAGAATGTAATACTTTGTTTTAAAGTAACTTTAATTATTTATATTATCATTAATTTATTTCTTGTTGGATTAATATTATAATTTTATATCTAATAAAATGAATTTTATTTGGTTACTCAAAACACATTTAGTTAACTATAAATATTAAAATAAATGGAAATAGAGTTAAGAGATTTTTAAATAAAAAGTCTTGATATATTTAATAATTATGAATAATATTAAAATTTACAATATTAAAATAGTAATCTATAAATGGCTTTTGCAACTGAATTAAATTAATTTGTTATGATTTCTAACAAAATAAAATTGGAAAGTTCAAAAAAGTTGTGGCATAAATATTTATATGAAGATAATATTTGTAGTTTTCCTGAAATTATAAATGATGAGAAATCAAATTAATTTTGTGTTACTTAAAATAAAATTACTTAAATGTTAAATATTATTAATGGATTACCTATTGTAACTCTTGGTATTAATAAAATTATTGAAGAATCTAAAATTAATTTTAAAAAATAAAATGTTTTTGATATTTATTAAAGACTTAATTATTTAGACTTTATTTTTATGAAATACTTCAAAATACTCTTTAATTAAACTTAATTTGATTATAATATTTTTCTAGAAGTATAATAGGATAATTCAATTTGTTTCATCTTTAAAGTATTTATCTGCTTATTAATTATTATTTTATAATGGATTCCATTTGTGAAATAATTTTTTTTTAATAAAGAATCAAAAAAAGGTTAAAAATATTTATAAATTTGAGGAAGTTTAGATAACAAAATATAAACATATATATTTAAAATAAACTTAATTTATTTTTATTATTATTTAATATTGAAACAAAATAAAGAAAAAAGTATATAATTTTATTTAAAAGTTATTTTTAATACTTATTAAAATTAATTATTAAAAAAAAAATATATTTAAATCTTTTATATTTATTTTATTAGAAACTTATAGTAAATAATAAAAAAAAATAATGAATGCCCATAAAATTACAAAAGTATCTGTCTAATTAATTCCTGATCCCTTTATATAAAAAATGAAGAAAAAATTTTCTAATTGTTCAAAAGAAGTAAAGTTAAATATTAAATTTAAAAATAATAATCAAAAATAAATACAAAAGTCATTAGAATATAGTATTTGTGTTTCAAAAAAAGGAATAGCTATAAATCAAGCTGATTGTTAATAAGAATTTTAATTATTATTAAAATGTATAAAATGAATATTTATAAATAAATAACTTTTATTTTGAAAAAATTCTCATATTTAATAAAAATAAAACATAAATGCAAATCTAAACAATAAAAATATAAAAATAATATAAAATTAAAAAATACCTATTTATAACTATTTTTCATAATAATTATTGATTTTAAAACAAATTTAAGTAATAATTACATATTTATAATAAATATATATTTTTTTTCTCTAAATAAAAATCAGTTCTAACATAAAGGACAACCCAGTTTTATTATTTCATAAGGTTTTAATATAAAAACTTCTAAATAAACTAATATGAATATCCTTATTAATCTATATTTTATATTTAATTAAAAAATACAAAGCAGCATAAATATGCTTATTATAAATTTTATTCAAATATTTTTCATATTATATTATATTACTAAAAATATTTTATTTTTAATTTAGAAACTTTATTAAGTTATATTTTCCTATTAAAAATTTTATAATTAATTATCATTACTAAAGGGTTAAGATATTAAGGTTATGCTTTATATATATTCATATGAATAAATATTTTGCTTGAATCTTAATAACTAACTGAAATATGCTAAATTTATTTTTCAGAATAATTTTTTTAATTATTAATATATTAATTGTTAATAAATAATTAATTAAAATTTTATTATCCGTAATCGTAAATCTTCTGCATAAATAATAATTTAAACAATCTCAGTTTAAAATTATTAATTTTAATAATACTTTCTAATCAAATTTTTAATATTACTTCTGGAAGTTTAGACATGAGATAAGCTGTATATTTTCTTGATTGTTTTAACATAATTTTAAAAATACTAATAAAAAAAATAAAAATATTTTTAAAAATAACAAAATGAAGTCAAATAATAATTTGTTTTAATGAAAATTTTTAAAAATTTAATTATAAGTATTAATTGCTTATATAAAAATAAAAAATAATAGTATTAATTTTTTTTAAATAAAGTTAACTTTAAGAGATTATTTTATTTTAAAAAAATTTTTATTTCTAAATAAAATAAAAAAAAATTATTATAGAAAATAATATAATTTTATATTAATTGAATATAAAATATTTAAAAAAAATTATATAAAAATAAATAATTGAAAATATTTATCACAATTAAATTCATATTGAATTTTATATTTTATATATAATAAGTAAAAAATAAAAAAAAAATAGTAAGATAAATAAAATTTATTCTTTTTTAAGTTAAAAAAATTAAAATTTAGTGATTAAATATACTAAAATTTTAAAATTGTATAATATTTTATATAATTAATATATTATAAATATAAATATAAATATATATAATATATATCTATATTTTTATATAGATTTATATATATATATATTTTAGATATTTTTTTTATATAATATATTAATAATATAACATTTAAATATTTTCTTAAAAATTATATAATTAATTAATCATTAATATTTATATATATTTTTTTTAATTTAAAGTATATAAATAAAATTTAAATTAATATATATTATATATTTATAATTATTATATATATTTTTTTTTATATTTTTAATATTATTCTTTCATTCACGAATCATTTTTATGTTTATAAATTTTCATTTAATATCTATTATATTTATAATAAATTAGGAATTTTATTTAAATCATTATTAATCATTTATTCAATTAAATTAATAAACCATTTATCAAAAGTTTATTAAGACTTTACTTTTTCTAGTTTTTCTTACAAATAATCCTCAACATTAATTTTTTATTTTTTATCATTTCCTAATAAAATAAATTTTCCTATCATCTAAATTGCATTTTTTTCTTCTTTTTTTATATCTCCTTCAAAATGAAAATCAAAAAGTTCACTTGGAAAAAAACTTAGTAATTTCAACATAACTTTTGGAATTTGCTTTTATTCTTTTTTAAAAACATTAATATTTAAACCTAATTCTTTTCTTTCTTATAAATTCTATTTTTTTATTTATTCTTACTTTTTTTCTTATTTATTCTAATCTTTTTAATCTTTTTAATCTTTTTAATCTTTTTAATCCTTTTATTCTTTTTAATTTTTTAAATCTTTTTAATCTTTTTAATCTTTTTAATCTTTTTAATCTTTTTAATTTTTTAATTAATTTTATTTTTTAAATAATTTTACTCTCAGAATTATTTTCATTTATATCATCATGTTAATAATTAAAAGATTACTCTTTTTTATAAAAAAAGAAATTATAAAAATAATATAACAATAATAATAAATTAAATATAAAAGTTCCTTAATTACCTCCACTATTTTTATGAGAATCGTTTTCTTCAATTTCTTCTTTAACTTATTAAAGAGTAGTATTTATTGCTTATCCGTTTTCTTAATTAAGTTTATTTCTTTACTAAAACTTCAAAGGACTGATATATCGGTTATTATCATTGTTATTACCATCTTAAATTTCCTCAAGTAAAATAAAGACATCAACTAATTCTTTTAATAACTTATAAAGCACAATTTTTTAATTTTCCTATTTAATTTATTAAATACCTATTAAACTACTAATTTTTTGTTTAAGCCTTCTAAATCAATATTAAAACTATCTAAATTTACTGCACTCTTGCTTTATTTTTATTAACTTTTAAAGTTAAATTCGTTTTTCATTCCAAATTTTAATGGAGTTTTCGAATCAACTTTAATATCAACTGGACTCATTAAAGAATCTAAATTTGCAGCTGAAGCTACTTTCAATTATTTAGTCTATTCATTTTGAAAAAATTAATGTTTTAATGCTTAAGTTGCACTTAAACGTAATAATGGATTTGGTTCTAATAATTTATACAAAAGATCCATACTATCTTTATTTATCTGTTTTTTAAAAAAATATCTAAGAATTTATTTAGATATTTACCTATTCATACAGTTTACCTTCAAACTTTATTTGGCATTATTTATTTAACTCTAAAACCTAAGAAAATTTTTTTCCAGGAAAAACAGATTTACCAGTCAATCTATTAAAAAAAAAAAAACAGAGAAAAAATATTATTTGTCTATATTGCTTTTTTATGTGCTCTAATTTTTTAAAAAACTCAATTTTCAAAAAATAAAAAGATGTTGAATATCTTTTATTTTAATTGAGTTTTTTAAAAAACTATATCTTGCACAAATAAATAAATATAAAAATATAAAAGGAAATTACAAAATATGCAAAATTACTCCAATACTAAATAAATCACATTATTCTGAATATCTATGATTTTCTGACTGATTTGCTAAAATTTCTGGCGCCACATATCCTGGGGTCCCTACATGAACATAAATAAAATGAGTATCCTTTGTAAATTATGCTAGTCCAAAATCAATAATTTTAAGATCATTAAGGGAAGTATTATCTTCATTTTAAAACATTATATTTTAAGGCTTTAAGTCTCTGTGCATAATTCCTAAACTATGAACATATTCTATTCCTTTAAGCAATTATTTCATTATATGCCTTACAACATTATATCCGAATTATGGATTTTCAAACTTTTGAAGTTCACCCTGTAATGTTTTATTAGAATCGTATAGTTCAGTTAATATATAATAACCGTATTCGTCTTCATATGTTGCTATTATTTTAATACAATTCGGATGATTTAACATTCTTAAAATTTTTAATTCATTAAAAATACTTTCCTTTTTTTTAAAAAAAATAAAAGTTTATATTATTTTGATTTGAATGCTTTTTACAAAAGCATCTTCAATTTATTCAAGCTTTTTCTTATGTAAATATTTTACAGCATAAAATTTTCCATTATCAATTTTTTTTACTTTATAGACCTTTGTTTATTTATTTTTAAACAAAGATATATATTTTTTTTATTTATATAATAAATACTTTGGCATATTTCCCTTTTCCAATTTTTTAGATAATTTCAAATTCATCAAAAAAATTTAATTAAAATATTCTTTTGGAAAAATATTCTCTTAATTTAATAATAACTATATTATCACAATGATATTCGATTTTGTATGATGTATCAGTTAATAATTTAAAACCTATAGTTTTTTTTTCAAAAGATTAATTCTATTTTTTAGAATCTATTATCCATTATAAATGCCAATCAGGTTTTAAATTTATGATTTTATCAGGTTTATTTTAATATGGTTCCTTATTTTTTTAACAAAAATATTGTTTTTGTTTAAATTTAATAATTTTAATAAAACATCAATATCCTTACTTTACATACACAAAATGAGTTTTCTGTACAATAAATAAAACGTGTCTATAATTAGCCTAAAAATCCCTTTTTTTATATTCTGGCTTCGAATATGCAAGCTGAGTAATCAAATACTCCACATTTCGTTATTACTGAAGGAATATCATTAAATAAAGATTGACTCATTAAATTGTTTTTATTTTTCTTATTTTTAATTCTTATTTTTATATAAATAATTAAAGTTTTATTATTTTATTTACATTATGTTTTAATTATATCTTTAATAATTAAATGATTATTATTTATCATATTAAATATTATAAAAAAAAAAATATTTTATAATTAATATAAATTTTGTTTTACATTTATAATAGATTACTAGTAATATTTATAATGTCGATTTTTTTTTATTTTTATATATATGTTTTATATTTATTTAAAAATAAATTTTTACATGAAAAAATAAATTCTATTATTTAAAAATAATTTATTATCGTATAAACTATTATGAAATAAAATCACATATATCAAATAATCCATAAAATAATATATAAACATAAAATAAATTTAATTTTAAATAATTTTCGAATAAATATCAAAATAATTAATGGCAATAAGAATTCTTAATTATCATCAAAATTAAAACAGCAATGATTTTTTAAAAATAAAATATTATAAAAATATATAATAATTAAAGAAATTAACAAAAATTCCTAAAACATCTAAATATAAACTAAAATGCAAAAAACATGAAGAAAATTTAAAAAATATGAGTAAATTAAAATATAAACATAAATGTTCATTATTATGTATATAATGAATATAATATAATCTAATAAACATCATTTATTTATTAAAGAAAAAATAAAAAATAAAAATTGAACGAATTATTATATAAATAAAATTTTATTAAATTTATTCAATATCAAAAATTAAATTTGACCCTTTAAATTTTTTTTTTTTTAATAATTTATGATTTTAAGAATAAAAGCGAAAATAATATTTATTTACATTTCTTAAAATTTTACCTTAATATTAACACTTTTAATTCGAAAAAGAAATAAATGAATTTAAAAAAAAAATTGGTGATTTATTTGTAAATGATTTGTAAATTTCTTCTAACCAACCTTTAAAATAACATATATTTAATTTCAAAAATGTTTCTTTTAAAATATAACTGTTATATAAACATAAAAGTTAAATTCAAAATAATTTTCATAGTTAAAATTTTAATTCTAATTAAAATTCTTTTTCAGACTTATCAGAAGATAAATATTTAATATTTGCTACAGGTTTTTCTTCTATGATTAAAATACTTAGTTTTTTTCTTTAAATAAATACACGAAGAGCTTACATATTTTGAAGAAATAAAACTTAAATTTTAATTAAATTGATTAAAAAAAATATATATGTAAAGAATCTTATGATGAAATAGATAGAATATCCTATTTATTAAACGAAACAATATAAAATTTTATAAATTTAATGGAAAAATCAAAAAAAATATATGTATTTTTATGAAAAAATAGAATTATAATAAAATAACATTTAATCTTCACATATTATAATTTCAAATTAAAAATCTTTCCGAAATTGAATATCTAAAAAGAGTAATATAATATAGTTTAAATATATATATATTTTTTCAATTTTTTCTTTGAAAAAAATAAAATATGATTAACAAATATATTGAAATATAAATATTAAATGAAAATAAATATGTAACGAATAAAATTATAATGCTATTTATCTTTATTAAAAAAAATTAATTAATAAAATAAATTTTAAATAGATATAACTTCTTTACATGTACTATCTTCTTAAATAAATGCGTCTAGTATGATTCATATAGTCTAAAATAGTGTTTTTTATTTTATTTTAATTCAAAATTTAAACAATATAAAACATTCATATATGATTAAAATTCATCAGAACATTAGAATATTATATTACTTCTTCTGATGCTTTTGTATTTTTCCGTATTTTTATAAAAAAAACTCAATCAAAAAAAAGCCATAAAAAATAGATAAGAATCTTTTTTTCGTTAACATTAGAACAAGTAATATATGGCTTAGAATTATTTCCTTGTAGCTTCTGCAAGAAGATGAAAAAATATTATAATATGGAAACTCATCTATTAAAGTTATGATAAGGATTATATTTTAGTAAAAAATTTTCTTGATAATAATGCATATGCATATGATAGCATCTCTACATAATAATTCTAAAAATAACCAAAATTAATTAAAATATATTAACTTTTGAGGTTATGCAATCATAGAAATAATAATAATAATATGGGATATTTAAGAAAGTAATAAAATATTTCAAATAAAAATGACTGAATGTAAAAATAAATACTTTTAGAACAAAAATTAACAAATTATTGAAATTTGTAAACTAAAAAATAAAAAACTATAAAAATCAAATTTCTTATTTATTAGGAAGTATTTCTCATGCAAATTTATTACAATAGAAATCATTAATTAAAAAAAATAAAATAATAATAATACTCTAAATATAAAATCTAAAAAAAAGAATCTCGAAAAAATATCGAGTTTATAATTCTTTGTCTGTTTAATTGATGAAAATATAAAATTATAGATTATTTAATAAAAATAATATAATTTTAAATAATTAATTTTATTGATTGTCATTTTTTTCAAGCTTTCACTAATGTCAAATTTCAAAATTAAAAAATTGAATTTTTATTGCTGGAGGAAAATATGATAGCAAAATTAAAATTAGTAATGTTATATGAAATTAAAATTATTATTAATTTAGAATACATTAAAACATAACAAAAATTATATATGTTTATTATTTCATAATTAGAATACATAAAAAAAAGTTTATAATAATATATATAAATAATTTTTTTCTCAATTACTATTTTTTATTTTAAATTTAAGATATAAATATATTTCAAATTTAAATATTACAATATATAAATATATAATTTTTTTTTTTATAAAATTTTATAGTGAAATTGAATATTTTTTTAATAAATAATATAAGTTTAGGTTTATTACATTTATTTTATTATATATTATAAAAATTCATTTTAATTTTATAAATTTATTTAATATTAATTTAAATAAATTATATTTTCTTTAAAAAACTTATATTTTTTATTTATAAATAAAATACACTATAATTCATATAACTTATTTTTTAAAAATAAAAATAAAAGCAAGTATAAGTTTTAAAAAATATAATTAATAGTATAATTATTAACTCACATTTTAAAAACAAATATTAATACCATATTTAATATTAGTTGAAAAATTAATATAGTTTATTTTAAATTTATATATAAATAATTTTTAATTTATTTGAAATTAGTATTATATTTTATGAATTGTAATATTTTTTTAAAATATGTTTTTTTTCATTATTATAATTATTACTTTTATTTTTATTGTCAAAAATCAATAAATAAATAATTATTTTTATATTAAAAATTTAAAACAATTACAAAAATGCAAATACAAAATAAAAAATAAAAAAAACAAACAAATACAAAATAATAAAAAACATATAATAAAAATAAAAAAAAAACAAAAAATAATTAAAATTATTAATTATTAATTAAATTAATTTAAAAAATACATATATAATTATTATAACCCTCATTTAATATATATTTAATGAGAAACTAAATATTTCTGTCTAAAAATTTCTTTAATTAAGAAAAAAATAAAATAAAAAAATAAAAAAAATAATAATATATTAATAATAAAAACAAACAAATTGCTAAAATAATATATTTAATTAAAATGCAAAATTAAAGATAAGAAAAAACAAAAAATTAGAAGGATTCTTCAATTATATACTAAGAAAAAGACTTCAAAGTAAAATTTAAAAGACTTGAATATGACACTTATTAAGTAAAAAAAATATAAACAAATTTATTAGCGGACAAAAATAAAACTTTTTTTTTATTTTTAAGAACTCGTATTGTGGAATATGTTACGAAAGAAACAATAAATATTATCCTGATGATATATAAGAATCAGGTTTTTATTTTTTAAAATATATATTTATATATTAATTAAATAACACATTTTAAAATAAAATTTATTTTCGCATTTTTTTTTATATAACTTTTTTTATTAGGAACCAAAATGATTGTCTGCTACGGTTGCAATTAAACATGCCATTTATATTGTTATGGCTTAGACACTCCAATATAAGAAGAAATATTTGATGAAAAAAAGACAAAATAAGTTTAAGTAATATAATATTTCGTTTGCTAAAAATGCCAACATGAGATTAGCCCTAATAAATTCCCAGTAAAATTATAAACATATAAATTTATAAAACAAAAAATTTTCCCTTTAACAAAATTAAAAAATTTGATAATTTTATTCATTTATTTATTATTTAAATAAGGATTGTTTTTTGTGTAATGAAAAAAAAGGAATATTAAAATTAATCGAAAACGAAAGAAATAACGAGTGGGTCCATATTAACTGTGGTTTATTTAATAAAGGATAGATATTTGTAAAATGTTATAGAAAAATGACTTTTATAAAATAAAATGTTATAAAAGCAAATGATAATAAAAAAAATTAAAACACATGCCGTTGTTGTAAATCTGATACATCTCTAATGAAATGTAATAATGAATAATGCAAATTTAAAAGTCATTTTAATTGCATTCTTTATTATTATAAATACAAAGATATATTAGATAGTACAAAAAAATTTAAAAAGTAAAAAAATAAACCATAAACATAATAAATATAATAATAGTAGTAATAATAAAAATCAAAAAAAAATCAAAACAAAAATTATCACAATCATAATAACTTTAAGAAGAAATTTAAGAAGAAAACAATAATGGAGTAGAAAATATTTATTCTATTTTAAAAATTCAAAAACATGAATAATTTAATATAAATAAACTGTACTATAATAAAATACATAAAATAATTGAAAAATTATAGTCTAAATATTAAAATTTACCTTAAATAAAATAAATAGCTTTCAATGTGCTTAAAAAATTTAATATTGATGATTCTCAATAGGATGTATTAAAAGGAGGATTAGTTGAGATTTAATGTCCAAAACACCAAAAAGAACTAAAATACTGTGTCTGTTAAGCACTTTTGGGCGACTCTCTTATGATACAATGTGATCTATGCGGTAATAAAAAAAATTATTTTATATATAAATAAATATTTTTAAAAAGATGAATGGTATCATTGTTAATGTATAAATATGAAACATACTGAAGTAGATAATATGGATAAATTCAGATGTAGTTTATGTAATGACTGGTATAAATAAAAAAAAGAGATTTTATGTATTGTGAATTAAAAAAATGAATAAAATTAACGAAAATTAAATTTATTAAAAATACATTAAAGTTATAAATATACTTTATGCGATCTCATTTTGATGATGATTTATGTAGATATTAAATTCAAAACTGACAATAATATGTAAGAAATGAATGATGTTCTATGTTAAATCCCTTTAGTTTCTACACAAATAGAATATTGTTAAAGAATTATGGTAAAATAAGTATTGGATTTTTTTCTAAACTAAATAATTGAAGTATTAGATTTATAATAAAAACAATAATAAGATTCCTAATAATAAATAATTGAAGAAGAAATAATAGCATAAAAATCAAACGAAAAACAAATAAAATAATTTCAAGAATTAATAATAGAAATCTAATTAATATACTAATAATATTAAATCTAAGACAACTCAGCTTTACTAAAAATAAAAAGCTAAAAAGAATGGCAAGTAAAAGCTTAACTGTCAATATAAAGAAATTCCATTTCAAAAGAATTTTTATTTAAATTTTAAAAAGAAAGTAATGAAGAGTTCTAAAATACTTTTGAATACAAATATTTATCGAATTTATTTTTAAAAAGCTAACAATGGTTTGAAGCATATGTAAACTTTTACCAAAATACATATAAGAAAATATGCGAATTTCATTAATAGCAATAAGAAATATTCCAAAATGCAAAATAAAAAATTCTTACTTCAGAAGAATATATTAACGAAAAATACGAATTTTGGTTAAAAAAAATAAACACAAAACCTACTTTATCATAAGTTTAACTGTTAATAAGTTAAGGAAAATAACTAAAGGTCGATTTTAATGAAGAATTAACTAATTTATAATATGAAATTGAACAAAGTTAAAATTGGGAAAAAGAAGTAAGTTTATTAATGAATAATTTTACTGATATTTAAAGTTATGTTTATATGAGTGAAAAAATGATTACATCAGTGTTTATTTACAGACCTTTAATGATTCAAGTAATATAAATAATTTAAAAGTTTGAAATTTGCGAATGTAAATGGGAAAGAATAACATAATTTTTTGGAGAACATTAATAAGGATTATGGAATAAAAACGATAAAATAAAAGTTCGGATAGAAGAATTAACTGAAATATTTAATGAAATTTAAGAAATGAAAATATAAGTTAGTTTTATGGATTAATTAGAAGAATACATAAATGAATATAATGAAAATTTATAATAAATTTAAAGCAGTATGAAGAAATTTAACTTGCAAGAATATTAAAAAATCGTTCATAATATAGATTAATAAAGGTACTTTTTTTAAGATAAATAATATTTTGTGGAAAAAATAAAACTCTATGAAGAGTTAAAATAATCTTTAGTTAAATAAATTAACTCGAAAAATATTGAAAATTATTTAAAATTTGCAAAAGAAGGAAATATTGATAATAGTATTATAAATTAATTAGAAGAAAAATTTTAATAAAAAAATAAAATTCAAAATATTTTGGATAAAGTTTTTGCTAATAGAATTATTAATGAAGAAAAAATTTAGTAATTAAATCAAGCTTTGAATTTTATGAAAGAATTTAAAATTGATTTTGTTTAAGAAACTGCTGATATTAATACTGTTAAAAAACAAATCGAACTTTTTAGAGATTTACATAAATCTTTAACTAACCTATAAATTCAAACCAGAAAAGATTAGATCTAAGAGATAGATTTAGAATAAGAAGAAGAAAATTAAGAATAAGTAACTATTTTTCTTTATTTAATATTTAAAATAAAAAAAAGAGCATTTTAACCTGTTATGAAGAACTAAAATCGACATGGGTTGCAATAGTTTCTAACTTTGATTAACTCAATGTCAGAGTACAAAATATTTTAAAAAATAATTATTAAAACTTTGAAAAATACTATGATTCTAGAATTGAAGAAATATACAATATGATAAAAAACTTTTGCTGGGATTATGAAGCAAGTTAATATTTAGAAAATAATAGAAAAAATAAAGGTGTTGATATATTAGAAAATATCATAAAAAAAGCTAATTTATATAAAATATAAAACGATAAATATAGATAATTATTAAATATTTATAATAGATTTGTAAAGTAAATAAGTAATTAATAATAATAGTTTATCAATAAAACAATAATAAATTAAACATAAATGAATTATTATATTAATGACATCTAATAAAAAAAAAGAAGTTAAGAATTGATAGATATAGAGGATAATAATCTAGAAGAAGAAGATATTGATAATAATAAAATACAAAGATAACATAATTAATTAATTTAATAGTATTAATAATATCAAACTTAATAATATTAAAATAAATAATATTAAAATTAATAATATTAAAACATACAATATTAAAACTAATAATAATAATATTTATAACAATAATAATACTAATAATAGTTTTTCCAAAAATAATAATAAATGTTATAAAATTAATAATATAGCTCTCAATTTATGTAAATCTAGTAGTCTTAAAACATTATTTCATAATAATCTTTAAGTAGTTAACCTCTAAGTAACTAATATGGAATTTAGCCAATATAAATTTAAGATTAATAAGAATCTAAAAAAAATGAAAATGAAAAAAAAAATATAGTTAGTGATGAAGATAGAGAATAGGCCCAAAAAAAGCTATTAAAAATGTTATCAGATATAGATAAAAATTCTATATAAAATAATTCCGAAAATGTTAAAACATTAGAAAATTAATTATTTGGGGATTTTTATAAAGACAGAAATCTATATTTATAGGAAGTTGAATCATACTTAACGTTTTTCTAAATAATAGAAAAATATCCTCTTGTTAAAAAAAAATATTTCCGAAGCTAATTTAATATTAAATTTATAGATTACCTAAAAAAAAATCCTGATAAATTGCAAATTTAAGAAGAGTAAATAAACAAGAAAATCTAATCTAAATAAGAAAAAATGCATGTAATAAAAATTAATTAAAAAAAAAAAAATTAAATATTTAAATAAAAAAAAAGAGAAAATCAAGTAGTATTGAATTATAAACAGATAATACGCCTTCAAGTAATAAAAGTGATAAGTACTTAACCAAATAGAATTAAAAATTAAATAATTTATAATAAAATTATAATGAATAAAATTCAGATTTAAGCTTAGAAAAAAAAAAAAAATTAACTTAAAGAATTCCTAACAAAACTAATAAATAATTCATAAAAAGAACTTAGAAAAATTATTTATAAGAAAATAAATTAAAAAACGTAGACCCTTCTTATATTTCTAAATAAACTTTACAAAATGATTAATAAAATAAAAATAAAAGTTTATAAGTTACAAATAAAAATAATTAAAGCCTAAAAAGAACTAAAGAATTTATCCTGAAAAATTCTGATTTAGATAAAAAAAACAATAATTCAACACAAATTATTGATTCTTAAATTTAATAAAAATAAAGAATATGTAAATAAGAACAATAAAATAAACAATTATATAATAAATCTTCGAAAAAAGATTAAATTAACAACTAATCTATAGCTAAAAATTAAACAACATAAAATGTAAACAAATAATTAAATTAAATTCATTCAAATGATAATTTATTGTTTACAACGAAATTAAAATTGAAAAACAAATGTTTTATAATATAATTTTATTCAAAAGAGAAGATTTAAGATAGTTTATTAAAAAAAATAAAACCTTTAATTATTGATGGAAGTAAAGTTATAAAATTCAAAGAATTATAAAGAATAATTCAACAAAACAAAAAAAATAAAAATAATAATTTTTGGAAATATAGTTTTACAAGAATAAGATTAATAAGATTAAATTTAAGATTATGTAAAACATCTTAATATATAATTAGAAGTAGTTTAGAAACAAAACAAAGAAAATAATTCACATCTATATTTATTTACAGAAAATTAAATAAAAAATAGATTTATTTTAAACTTTTTATCTGATAATATTTTGAATAAAGTTGAAAAATCTTAACTTTATTTTGTAATTTTTATAAACTAGGATGTACAAGAAGAAATAAAATTAAATAAAAACAAAATGAAATAGTTTTGTTGCTAATAAACTTAAACAAGTGATGATGATGACGAAAGTGATATTTTACTAAGAAAGAAATAAAAGCTAAGTAATTAGAATTTTGAAGATACAAATAATGTTATTTCTGAATAGTCTAAAAATGAAGAAGAAAGCCATAATGATATTGATATTTAAGACTTAGAATAAGATTTAAATAATATATAAAAATATCTAAATTAAAAGGAAAATGAATAGAATTAAAGTGATTATAATATATAAAAAGTAATTATAAATAATTGAAGAATTTAAAAAAAAAAAATTTTTTATACTGCAATAAAATGAAATTTAATAAATTTAAAAAATAATATTATATATAACAAATCTATGTTTTTTTTTTTTTTAAAGATTAATTTTTCTTTTATGTATATAAATTATATTTTATGAATTTTTTATATAAATATATATATTATTAAATCATACATTTTTATTTTTTAATGTATTTAATTCAATAATATTTATTTATTTTAATTTGATTATGAAAATTTATAATATTAAGATAACAACCATAAAATAACATTTCATTAAATATAATATAAATTTAATTCATCCTTAAAGAAATTATCATAAATTATTTTATTTAATAAAATTATATTGTTTATACTTAATTTTATAAACAATGAAGTTAAATTTTTTATTTTTATAATAAATAATTCTAAAATTAAACAAAATACTTCTATAAGAACATACATGTATTAATTTAAAATACTAATTCTATTTTATGTATTATTTTTTTCTCAACTTTTAAGACTTCTAAGCTTATCTTTTATTTATTCTTTTGTTTCTTGATTATCAATATAAAAGTGAAAATTCTAAAAAATTCCTTTTTTTGAAAAAAATAAATAAAATTAACAATATAAATAAATAATAAATACTTATATAATTTATGTTTGAAATTTATATTAAACATATCAAATATCAAACATATAAATATATATTTTTATACCTTATCTTACTTAATTAACTACTCCCTTATTTTAAAGTGCATTACTTATTTAAAATGAAGTAAAATCTAGAAAGAAATCTGATCTTCCAAAAGAAACTAAAATATTAACAAGTTAATCTCTATTTTATTAATTTTTTAATTATTAAATTAATAAGTATTTTAATTTTTAAAAAATAAAATCTTCATAAAAAACATTTGTTTTAAGTACATTTTTTAACAAAATTTCAGAATTTATATTTAAAGTTTTTATATTATAAATTAGATTTAAACTTTTAACAGTATTATGAATAATAAAAGGCCTAGTGCAAATATCAAAAATAAGCCCTGAAAGATTATTTTAAATCACTTAATTTTAATAGACATGTTTTCTGATTACTAAACTCAAAAAACCTGTACCATATTCTTCTAGCTTTTTCTAATCATTTAGAATAGGTTAATATTTATGATATATCTAATAGATATTATATATTTATAAGCCTAAATAACTTATAATAGATATTATTATAGTTTTTTTAAATCCATTAAAAATAAAATTTAATGTAGGTGAATATTTCATTAATAATGCAGATGAGAAATTTAAATACACTTTGATCTTTTTTTATGTTTAGCTTGCTTCTAAATAATGAAGATATAAAATATTAATAAATGTATTATTTTTATTATTTTATAGTGTTTATCTATAATAATTTAACTAATCTTATTAAAATATATTAAAATTAGCTTGAGATTTGTTTAAGGAAAACAATATTTTTTTAAATAATTATTATATAGCCATTTTTATTAATATGAGTTCAATTATATTTATTAAAAAAAAAAAGAGTATTTAAAGGATATAAAATAAAAAAATATACTTATAAATTTATAGTATATGAATATATTATTTATTAAAAATACAATTTAAAATAAAATATACATAAAAAAAAATATCAAAATTTTAATAAATTATTTAATAGATATTATAATTTTTTTATTATATTATTATATTATTTTGTTATTAATATTATTTTTATCTTTAAAATTTATTATCATCCTTTACTCCTAAAGGACTTATAAATTATAATTATCCTAAAAATCATTGAGGTCCTTTAACTTATACTTCCGGATTTTAAAATTCCTTCAATTTCTTTTAAAATGTTTCTTAAAGTAAATTTATATATGCTCTTCAAATCATTAGTAAATAAATAAATTTTTAAAGAATAAATTAAAAAAAATATATATAATTAATTTTATAATACTTTCGCTAAAAATCATAATTGGATAATTTTAGGGTTAGTACCTTATTGTTATTAAAGTTCAAATTAACAAAGTTTTTTTAGGTGTTTTTTATTAGAAGTAATTTTTAACATGTTTTTATTCTAAGTAAGGATATAAATCATTTTCTCCATACTCTATTATTAATAGGTTTTCTCTTGTTAAGATGAATATTTACTAATTATAAAGGTATTATTATTCTTAAGAGTTTTAAAATATTTTTATCTGGAAAAATTATTCAATTCAACTATAATGTTAATTATATTTGATATTTTCTAATATAGTTTTAAAAATTAATCATATTTTATAAGTTGATTTCATTTTTTTCTACTCTTAACAAATATAAATTTTAAACATCTTAAATTTAATGTAATTAATTGAAAACAATTAATTTTTGAAAATTAACTTAAATTCTAAGTCATTATTTTATTTAAATTATAAATTCCCTATTTTCTTTTATTCCAAATATCTAGAAACATACGATAATTATAACAGTTTTATTTTTACTTTTTAACAATATTTTTTTTAAAAAACAGAATCAAAAGAAAAAAATAGGGAGAAAAAATAAATTGGGCATATTTTTTAATTATAGAATCTTAAAAAATTTAAAAAAAATCTTAGTATAATTTATACATATTATTTATTTATAAATTTATTTGAGTTTAAAATAATTAAATATTCATTAAATTTTTGATTTTTTTTTATAGTAGAAAATTCAATATTTCATTTTTTTTTTATTTTTTTTCAAAATATTAATTTCCAAATATTCTAATTTAAAAAAAAAAAATATTAATAGTTTATAAATTAAAATAAATGATAATAAAAATAAAATATTATAATTTATATTATAAATAATACTTAAATATTAATTATATATTTAATTTAATATTATTCTTAATTAAAAGATCTATATTTATATATATAAATCTCATTATCATTCGATTTTTTATAAATTAATAAGACTCGTCGCTTTTGGTGTTTTTCTAAAAGTCTAAAATTTTTCAAATAATTATTTTTGATCATTTGAATTTTTTTTCACTAATTAATTTTCATTAGAAATATAAAAATGTTATTATTAATTAATTTAAACATTATTTTATTTCTAACTAACTTAAGAAATACTTTGAATAACTTAAGGCAATTTAAAAACTTTTAAAGGTTTTACAAGCGAAACCTTCACAGATATATTTTTCATTATTTAATTTTAAATAATTTATTTTTAGTCTATAGGAGATTATTCGAATTAGTTTAAAATAATATTATTTATTTTGTTTATATACACATTGCTATTAGTTTTTATAGGAGATATAGATTAGTTATTTTGTAGTAGAGTTTGATTAAGTTTAGTAATATTATTAAAATTATTAAGGGTATAATTATTTTTATTTATATTAGAAGTTTAACTATCTCTAATAGTATTCATACTTTACTAAGTCATTATAATATTATTTTTTTTGACTTTTTATTTAGAATTACTATTATTAGTATTATTATTATTTTAATCTTAAGATAAATTTTAAGTAGTAACCATTTTAAGTCTAAAATCTTAAGTATTGCCTAATTTTTTAAATTAGGTTTTATGCATATTTCTTCTTTGAAAATCAAGTTATTAAATGCTCCTAATTTTATTCAATTCTTAATATTTTGTTAATTTTCTTGGTGATAAACCCAAATGTTTAACAACATTATTTCCTATATTTTAATTTATAATTTTTTATTAAATTTATTAATGCGAAGTTGATGTTATAAGATCGAAATTTACATGTTTATATCTATCATACATGCATTATCTTGCCTTTTTTTTGTTTGCTTTTAAAACTTCAACATAATAATTAAAAAACTTAACATAATTCTCGTGTAAAATTTTATTTTATAAATCTTCATTTTTTTCATTCAAAAAGTCTTCTACTATAAGTTTCTTGCCGCAATATTCATGTATTTTATCTGCATCATTATATATATCTGCTACATTTACTATTTTATTTTTTTCATAATGTAGAGACCTTATTTTAAATATTTATAAAAACTTCAATTTGTTTCCTGTTAAATCAATAAAGTTTTAGTCAAATATCCCACGAGCATTTAACTATGAATTATCCCATATATTAAAGGATTAATCATTACTTTCTATACTACTAATTGAACTATCTTAATCATTAAATCTTTATTAATTTGCTCTTATTTTTTTAGAATTAGAATTAGAACGAATAATCATTTTTTTTTATATTGAATTATTTTACCTATTTATTTTTAAAAAGTAATTAAATATATCTTTTTTTATTTTTAATTGAACATAAATATTATTGTTAATAATTAAGTATTTTTACATTAAAATCAAACTGAATATAATCTAAAATAATTTATTAAGTTCAATGATATATTTTAATTTTAATTATTTAATTTTAAATATTATAGATTTTTAATTAATTAAATATTTTTTAAAAATGTATTTTTTATTATATTTAAAAAATTAGAAAATATCTATATATAAAAAATATTATTTATGATAAATTTAAAAAAATTAAATATTAAATATTAATATATAAAAAGATAAATTATCAATTTAAATTTACTAATTTAAAAATAAATATATTAAAATAAAATTTCAATTATATTATCTATTACGAAAAAAAGTAACTTAAAATATTACTAAATACCATAATAGTATTATATTTTTTCAACTAAAGTTATCTAAAAATAATATTTTTTAATTAAATTCTTAAATATTTATGTTTATAAATAAATTATTTTATTTCTTAATGATAAATTATTATTAAATTTATTTTTAATTTTCGAATTATAATATTT